TTTTTTTTCATCAAATAATCACTGTTTACAGTATAAAAGTACCAACTACTGTAAACTTTAAAAAACCAAACGAGTAAGTTGTTTTTGACACCTATTAACAATAAAAATAGGTATATATTTTTGTGTGTGTGTGTGTTTTTTTTGTAATATAAAATTGTGAAAATCAAATTTTTTAGTTATCTAATATTAGTCTGTATTAATAAGAATTCAAAAAGCTTAAATTGTTTTCTTGTTCACTTTTTATTAGTAACGGCAAAGACTGTATGCTCCCAAATGTGAATTTTCAATCAGTTACAGTTGAACATTTTTCTGCTGGTTTCTCGCGTAATATATTTATTTCACCAAGGAAAAAAGAGGAAAATTCAATTTTTTTTTTCTACTGAGACCTGGAAAAAAGTAGTAGTTAAAAGAAGTATGTGGTAATTTATAAACTACTAGAAAACTAATAGAATTGCCATTTAACATAGTAACTTCTCGTCTTCAACTTAATGATCATTAACATAATTGTCACAGTTTTTTTCCACAGTAAATAATTTAGTAAACTGTAGTAAAATTTCATGAGAATCTTCATCGGCAATGTATGTTTATGCGGTTGTAGCAGTGTATACATTATTGTCGTCAAGTTTCTGTAGTACTTCTGAGCAGTTGAGGCAACCGTTTGGTGTGTTGAAACGATTGAGACGTCAATATGTAGTAAATGCGTTATCACCTGGTGCCTTTGGATATCTTCAACCGGTTCAAGAAGTTCTATATGATTTTGACGGAAAATATACCATTTTTCGTTAGTTGTTACTTTTTTGTTCATTACACACACATTACAGTTGTCAATAGATTGAATTCAAAAAATAGTTGAATATAGACAGTTGGCTTTTCTTTTCTGTTTATTTGCAAGAATTTTTTTTTCTACAGGACCGAGAAAACGATGTGATCCAGCTTACAGTGGTACCGAATCAGTTACAAGTTATAAAACAAATTTTCGCGTCGATCCTGCAGATGGTTATGAATGTGTATTTGTAACACCAATCAGATTTGATGTTAGTGTTTTTTTTAATCTGCTATCCTTTTGTTGAAATTTTTTTCTTCAATGAAATTATCAATTATTGCTGCACACTTTACAATGTAAAAATAACAGCAGGCAGTAACGGTGTAATAATGAGTGTAGAAAAAACGACTGAAGCCAATGAAAATTTTTAATTTTGATATTATTTAACATTATTTTTGTCATTTTTCATCAATCCTTTTCTTGTTTTTTTTAGAAAAAGAGGAATAGAAAAACAACATTAAATTATCAGTGGTCAATATATTATTAGTAGTCAGTAATACCATATAAAAATATCCAATTTTGAGTTGCTTTTTTCCACCTAAATATAGATTACATATTCGATGCTACGACTGGGCGACTACTGCGAAAGATTTGTCGATTACGGTCCACTTCTGTTGGATCTGCATAATGAAACTGAAAAAAATTTTTATATCCGTAAGTTTTTATTGGCAAATGGCAGCAGAAAGAACAACTATTTAATTGACAATTTATCAGTATCAATATTTTTGATGTACTCATAATTGGTTTCTATAAAATTAACATTTACTGCAATAGGTTTGTCAATTATATTTTAATTTTTGTTGCTTGAACTATCAGAATGCATCTCATTCAATATTACTTTATGCTAAAGTTTTTTGTCACTACAGTCAACAACAGTAATCATTAACTGATATCAATCAACAACAAAAGAAAAATCATTACTGATTGTTGTGACTGCAGAAAAATTCTAAAATTTGAAGAGTCACCCTTGTCAACTTCTCTCTTACAGTGTCCTATGAGACCTTTCTACTACTCTCTCTACTGTAAGCTCAACCAGTCCTTGAACCTACAGCACTAACCTATATCTACTTTGATACTTCTTGCTTAAGACTCCCTCCAGTCTTAAGCCTTTTATGAACCGATTCGCCTTGGATAGATGCCAACTCTCGTGTTTAGGAAGAATGCTACTCAGTTGTAGTATACCTACCTAAACCTCAAACAAGAATAAATGTTTGATTGCTACGCGTGCGATATTACCCCTATTACTAACTT